TTTTTCTGAGTGAAATTTCCACTACAAATRATGGCCAATATACAGATTTAAGCAGATAGCGACAGAGGTTGAACAGTTTCAGACATAGTTGGTTTAAAGAATGTATGACCCTTTGCATCATATGAGAACAAGTATCCATCTTGAACAGTCTTATCAAATTGATTTATCCTTGCAGCTGGACATATCTGGGGACGTTCTCCTCTGAAGGTGTCCCCATAGGTCGTGTTTAGGTCCATTGGAGATGCAGACATTGGCCGATTGACTTCATGCCTTATAGCCCTAGCTGGTTTTCCTTGTTGTCCTCTGTAATGGCTCTGCATAGTGGACTCTCCTTCAAAACGTCCAGARGGTGGRCGGTAACCCTCTYTCTTTGTACTCTTAGGTATAGGCTGGAAGTCCCAGGCCCTGTAAGTATCCCCATGTGTGGTCCTATCTTGGAATGGCTGACTTGAAGCAAATGATTGAARGGGAGGTTTAGCGCTGATGGCAGGACCCACATTCCATTGAGGATAATCATGTTTGAATGTGGTGGCATCATTGAACCTTCCTGAGGGAGGCCTGTACATTTCCTTCTCKCGTGGTTGRCTTCTTGGGACCTCCCACTTTCTATAMGAAAATCCAGTGGTTGTTTCATCTTGGAAAGGTGCATTGGATTGAATTGCTTCTTGATGTGGCTTGAAACTTGATGCTGGTAGACCTTTRTTCATTTGATAATCATGCTGGAAGGTTGTAATCCCATCAAAAGGAGGWCCTGTYCTMGGTCTCCGCTCWACTGGTTTTGATGTGCGTGCAGGGAGTGCTTGTTTTGGGGGGTAATCAATCCTAGTTGTTGTGTCAGACTCCATGGGACCATGAGGAGGTCTAAAGTCAGAATTGAATGGCTTGATAGCTGGTCTTCTAGCKACATAGTGTCCAGGGAAATCAGTCTGTTGGATTGTCTTTCCATCCATTCTGCCATTATTTCCCATAGTTGAGGCTTGTGGTTTCATGCTTTTGACCATGCAATCTCCCAGATCCCARTGTTTYAACGTATCCTGATGTACTGTYGACCCACCAAATGGTTTTGTGTTAGGCTGGTAGTTGACTGGCGGCTTAGCGGAAGTTGCTGGAGCTACCACTCTACCTGGGTAGTCATGGCGATATGTGCTTTCATCTTCAACTCGYCCGTCWGGTCTCACGTATCGCTCTTTCTCTCGCTTTTTATGAGGCTCGATTTTATGTCGAATGTAATCGAACTTGTAATTTGTATTTCCATCGAACGGATCTGTCGAGGCTTTAACAGAGAATTCAGGTTTTATAGGTTGTGTTCGTCCTGTAAGTCCATGTTTCTTGTATCTGTCCTGGTACTCCGTGAACACACATTTCTGAGAGGTAACTCGAGAAACTGGCCTGTGAGCACATCGATGTCGTCTACAATGAGAAAATTACTTTTGTCATGGAATATGAAGAAGCAATTAAAGAATATGAGGCCGKTTAATGACCATATTTTTTGGACTGTTAGCCAAAATGAGATCTTTTGTTGAGCTATAAAGATCGAGAAATTTCGATTGAGTGGRCGATTGCTCGGCAGCTGACATACACTACAAAATTTACAGTGTTGAAGTTTCGCGTTTAACACCAATTTCGAAAATGATATAGGTAAATCAAGGCAGAAATATGACTCTTATATAATTAAAAATTAATATTTTCTTCATGCGGGACGATCATATGGTCCGTTCTTGTGGATTGAATGGAACATCGTGCAAACGCGCCGAATATTTCAACAAAAACAGAGCTTATACTRACCCACAATTGCAGATCTGACAAATACAAAGTGCTTGGACCATATTAATAGATTTTTCGCTACAGAACCATGAGATTTTACAGAGAAATCTAAACTAATTCACAATTCCACGCTGTTCCTATTCGACTGTTTGTGTATTTACAAGCCGCGAAAATGGTTGCCACGCAATGATGTTAGCCAGTASGCGCGCTCTGATTGGCTAGTAGGTCAATTATGCATTGTGACGTAAACAATAACAATAGACTGACAAATCAACCGGAAAGATTTGGCGGAAATTAATTTATTTTTTCAATTCACATTTTTTTCCTTTAAAATGTATTAAAAATCTAAAAAAATCTATTTAATACCAGGGAATTAAACTTTATATATTTTAAAGAAATATTGCTCATTGATCTCGTTATATTTATGAAAATTTCATTGCATTTATTAAATGCTCACTTTCATTAAAATAGGCTCCAAATATATATATATATTTTTGCCAAAATTTAGGCATTTTTTCTGTATATTGGGCTGTTTAATTCTTGGCGATATTTAATATGAATTGAATATGAGTTTCTAGAATATTCAACGCTATTGAGTTTATATTCTATAACCAAACAAAAGTATCTATGGTGTGCTACTGAATAAACAGAGCGCTTAGAGGACATCAAAAATGRATAAATCCGACATGAACTTTCTCATTAACAACGATAGGAAATATAAATTAGTATAAATATGAATTATATTCAAAAATGCTTTGATTCTCGTTTTTCTCTAGTAATTGTACTAGTAGTTAATATATATTCGTTTGTGGACATGTGCCAAGACGATAATGATTTTCAATTTTACTAGTCTATTTTTTTTTTCTGTGTTACAGAAATCTTCATCTGCTATCTCTGTCAACAAACACAGTTGCTATCGTTTCGATAATACAGACGAAATAACCCGGCGTGGTTCTGATAGTTTTGAAGATATTCGTTTATTAGTAGCTGGTGCAAAAGAAAAATTTTATTTTCAAAATATTTGAAAAGAGGAAAATAAATAGATCATAAAAATGTAGGACAAAATATTAACCTGTTTTCTTCGCTAACTTAACAGGCAACAGCCATATTTTAAATAAGTCGACGTCCGCTTCCGGTTAGTTTTGGCGCCAAAATCAAACTTTCGGACGCGCGCGTTCAGGTTTTGTCCACAGTGAGGTGATGAGGCAAAGACAAGGAAGCCATTCACAAGTTGCGAAGATGCTAAAGGATTAAAGAGCGGTAAAAAGCTTTAAAATTGATTAKTATTTAAAGATGGTTTGCATTTAAGATCAATTAACGATATTTTGTTATTATGTCTTGCATTTTGCGAGGTTTTCTCTTGCTTTTGCTCGAGTTTTCTTCTCTTTATAAATCAGTGTTGAAAGGAAAGCAGCTGGAGCAGAAACTCTTGTCATGCGAACAAAAAATGAGTCATGAATACTTTTAATACTAAAGAAAAATTTTCAGCTGACAATTTTTATTCGCACTTAGCGAAACAATGAAATAGTTTTCATAATGACGTGTGTTTTTTTTAGTTTAAAGGAAAGATGTAAACATTTAGTACCAGGAACACGGAGCGGAATGGGAAGCCATTCGAAGTGGAACCTTGAAATTCAAGARGAGTACATTACAAACCCATTTCTAAGGACAGAAAACGCTCAGAAAGTCCTTGCCGCTATAAGGCAAAGGTATTCACGAGTGCCGAGGTCAACTTTATCGTCYAGACTTTCCTACAGAATTAAACAAGAAGGTACCTAAAGCATGACAAATTTCACAAATGTCAAAATTTATTAAGCATAGCTATCGTGGAGGTGAGGCGTKAGCGRATGTCTTTGATGAGCGTTTGTTTTTSYATGCTAATTGATATCAAAATTTGTACAAGCTATAATAATTAAAATTTATTCTCTTGTACAATTTAGAAATTTCTTCACAATCCAGTGCAACAGACGAGCAAGTGAATCAGGCTCAACTTGTCTCAAAATTTTCTCAGAGTTCTGATTYCTSTAATTCTGGGTCATTTACATGCGCTTTACAGAAAAGACTAGTGAAAAAGACCACGGAMAATTGGTAAAWAATTCATWCYATCRCAATTCTGTATTTGTATAAACCGTTCTAATGTGAGACACTTAATTTTCAATAATTCTTTTTGATAATGCATRGTGAATGGTGGCAATGCTATTATTCAGAAGATTTTTACTTCATATTGCAGTTATCAGAAACTGGAGTCAGTAAATGGTAACAACAGCAGCTCTGTTGATCGTAAAGTAACAGCATTGTCAAGCMCAAAGAGGAATTCGGGTGGTATGTATAACTCCCTCAGATTCCTATCCTTGCAAAGAAGCAATTTTTGAGCTTTTGCATCCTTATGAAAAATAACTAAATAGAGGTCCGCTTAAAGAGGTTTGCCTGCAGCTGGGAAAAAACGCTTCAAAAACGAATTTCATTTACATCCATTATAGATCAGAAAAAAATTCCTCAACCAAACTGTGTWATAAAACCAGCATCCCACAAAAGACAAGTTCTATCAGTAGAGTTGATAAGTAGTCAACAAAGAGAGCAAGTGAAGAAAAATTTATTGAGCGCAGAAGAAGTTGCATGTACTCTTATGTTTGAGGATGGTGCAAGTCAACTACGCCCAAATACAATCCAGGTATTTATACTCGTCTTCTGACTGATCGGCTGATGCGTTTACTTGTTTTCGTAGCATTTTTGTGTCATTTTGGATTCAGTGATTTTTGTTTAAATCTATAAAAAAATTGATTGATTTTATCTCTTGCATTTCTTTGAAACAAGACGAAGAAGAGACAAGGAAAAGCAGCAAAGGTAATGAAGTTTTCTATATTTAAAGTTCAGGCAGCTGCCATGGTAAATAAACTGATTGCATGCTCGGTATGAGTTGTCTAGTGACCGCTACATATGCCGTTGCACCATAGTTCAATTAACAAGTCAATTTATGCCAGTAAATTACAATTGCAACACCTCGTGGAGAGCTCACTCCAGTTAGCGCACCAATCATTTTTCAGTGCTCAGTTTTTGTCAYTGTCATTCTGTTTTTCTTGTTTCTCAGGCATGCGCCATTGTTTTTGCATTTCCATGGGCTGAAATGGYAAGCAATTTTGAAGATGAGATGGCTAACGTTTTGCAAGGTCAACTGGTCTTTGTAAAGATCACTCTTGTAACAGAGAACACTGAACTTGAAGAATGGATAAGGTACCTAAACAGGAAAAAAAAATTCATCTCATTTGAGATGTTTTTAAAGAAAAACTTGTTTAAAATCAACAGGGAACTTGTCAATCAACTGATGCAATCCTCAACAAGAAAGATTTGCTACGGTGCTCAAGAGATTGCAAGCTGTCTCATGAAAAAATACAGCTATGACACCAAAACTGGTAATAGTAATTCTTAAGCAACTACAAAATCAAGGCCACACCCATGCATATCCATCGTCAATAAAAAAAATTATCGGTGGGAACACTTAAAAGACTAACTGCAATATATGACTAACATTCCACATCCCTGTTTAAGTTTGCAGCGATTGGATATTCATGGATGTCAAAATAGCTTCATGGCTGCTCAACCCTGATAAACCACCCAAGGATTATTCAGATCTTCTTGAAAAAGTTGACATGAAACTTGAATCAAAGGTAAATTGACTAAGTTAGATGCTCATCTATTATTTCCATTACGAGCTCTTGCTTATGTTTGAAAATGAAGATAAGATTCTACCTAACGGACGTCGCATCATCGGCACTGAATGCCGATTTTTCTTTTTTCAGGAGGATAAAGACGAAGAAGAATTGCTCCGTTTAGATTTGAGCACACTTGGACCTGCCATTCTTACGTTGTACAACCGTCTCAAGGTAATAAACGTTGCTCTAGCCTRTCATCCAACAATTCAGCACTTGATCGATGTATGTTGCAATAGCTGATGGTTATTCCTATACTCTCAGGACAAAGAGTTATGGGAATTGTACTGGACTTTAGAAATGCCACTGTGTCTTATCTTAGCAGGTATAGTGCGTCACGATGATAGTATGTCACGATGATTTTACCGACATGTATTTTGGATCAATGGCTCAACAATGATTTGACATTGCTAAAAATTTAAGCTTCGTACAGCAAGGTATCATGGGATATCTTTTTCTTGCAATTCGAAAAAATATAGATACCCGAAATTCCTCCCGGTTTTCTCAATGACAGTCTCATCTATGTTCTATCAATAAAACCGGTGCATTTGTTTGTTTCATTTAGTAATGGAATCAGAAGGAATTAACCTTGATACTCAGGTTCTTTTGAAATCAAGTAACATTTTGAAGGTATACTAACTCTAAACTCAGGAGTTTATAAATATCTCATTCCAACAGTTAGATACATGTATGTAATATAACAACTTCGAAAGTAAGGCTCCTGTTTATGTATCTATTTTCAAAAACCAAAGAGTATTATTAGTGAGAAAACGTCATTTGTAATGCTGATCTCAATTGTTATAGGGTGTCTGTAAAACACGGAACACCACCGGAACACCCCGGAACACCCCGGAACACCGCTGGAACATCCCGGAACATGACGGAACATGACGGAAAACGGCCGGAACACCCCAAAAAAATAATAATAATAACATAAGTAGAATATAAAATGAACTGTACATAAACTAAAAACTAAATCATCGTTCGTTCCTGCACCCCAATCGACACCAAACCGTTCAGAACCGCAGTCATGGAACCTAACCCATGGAACATCATCCCTCGTTCCTGCACCCCAATCGACACCAAACCGTTCTACACCGTCATTGTGGAACCAAACCTATGGAGCATCATCCTTCATTCCTGCACCCCAATCGACACCAAACTGTTCAGCACCGTCATCTTGGAACCCGGCCCATGGAACATCATCTCTCGCCACCTTAAGGACACCTTGAGTTGCGGTCACAACAGCAGAAAAACCCAAACATCCAGATCCACAACCTGGTGTGTTCTGCATATACCTGCTCAAGTATTGCCCATCACAGGTGGCTAAATGCTACGGGTGTATGCAGTATCTTAAGCCCAACGGTCACATTGGCGCAGCACCGTACGACCTAGTCATCGTGTCAAAGATATGAACAGAGAATTCACCAACGCTAATGGGGATAGGCAGTCCAAATTGTCTAATGTTTATTTCCACTGCAATGAGAAATGCATTAGAGAGAAACAGCCCTATTTTATTCCTCACTTTTGCATATGTCCTCCTGACATTAGTTGCCGTCTTGTTCAAAGCCATAAAGACCTTGTCAAGAAGGAGCTTGGTCTATAAGGCTGATAAGGTTTAGATGAACACACACAGATTTCGTGTTTTAAAATGCAGTCGTTTTAGATTAGGTCGAAAGCCCTCTTTTATTATTCTGATTGACTTGTCACAAAAAAAAGAAGAAAAAACTTGACCACCAAGCTCTGTAGAAACATTAACATTAACGTCAATCGAATTCTGTTATTCTATATCCCTAGTACCTTGTTCATGTTCATTGGTCAAGTAATTGATCGATGAATCAAAAGTAAACACACTTTATTTCATTTGTTATCATTATTTTTATTTTTGGTGTTCCGAGATGTTCCGGGGGTGTTCCGGCGGTGTTCCGGGGTGTTCCGGGGTGTTCCGGCGGTGTTCCGGGGTGTTCCGGGGTGTTCCGGTGGTGTTCCGTGTTTTACAGACACCCATTGTTATACTAGGGACGAATAAAGACGCTGGAGACAGAAGCACATAAGGTATGTATTAGATGTGTTTTTGTACATAGCGTATTTTGCTTAATCGTCCGTAGGTCTTGCAGTACAAAATGGACGTCCTTTTAACGAGGGCTACTATAGATAACATGCAGACAGCGATCATGATGCGTCATGTTATTTTAGTTTCAACTGTATATTTACCTTTCATTTGTTTTGTGTAGGCAGCAGGAAGGTCATTTTTAATCAACAGCTCACACCAACTGAGGCAGGTAAATAAAATGCTAGAATGTTTTAAGGAATATTACCTGAGGCCGGTATATGTAAGCTTTAAAACCACTATCTATCGAGTGAATAACTTTATATCGTACTAGTGAGTTCAGATGCATGACTGTTTAATAACCTGTGCACGTAAAAAAGGGTGTACACGTTAGTGCACCAAGCGGTCCTACTTTTCAGTTAACCCTCTCTAAAGAAGTATTATGGTTTCAAAAAGAAATAGAACGCGGTGGAATGAGTACGGTTAGTACGCGTACTATGGGAAAAACCGGGATCGCGTTCCTAAAACAAGCATCATACCATAAAGAACGATTGCTGTAGAGGCTTGTGTATTTTCTGATAGGTTCTCTTTGAAGAGCTGAAACTAGATAAAAAGTGTGAGAAGGCGTTAGCGAAGCTGTGGTAAGTCCCAACACAGTGTTGTGCCTTATATGCTGTGTTTTGCAGTTCTTGTGCTGACTGAGGAGACATGAATAAGATGAATATATTGTGCATTTGTAATGCGAAAGAAATATCATAGTGGATTGAAGTGAAGCTGAATGAAAAAAAAAACGACTTGCCTTTTAGTTACTTGATCTTCAGCATCTTCATCCCCTCCCAAGAATTGTATTAGAATATCGTCAGGTGGGTATCAAGCATGATCAAGTAAAGTAAATTCTATATGCTCTTCCGTTATGTCCAATATGGTATAAACGTTCTTTGGATTATATACATGCTTTTTTCAATCTTTCAGCTTGTAAAACTGAAATCCACTTACTTTGATGGAATGTTGCCGTTTGTAACAAATGTAAGTATATAGTTTGCTCGTTACGTCATAACCTCCATGTTGAATACAAAGTGCAGCAAAGCATACCTCACGGACTCCATCCAACATTCCTTTGTTCTTCTATTTCTCGGAGAATTATTTGACACGTAGATACAAACCAAGCATTCTTAAAAACTGAGATGATCTTCGTTATTATGCCGGTATACCTTTTTTCTTAGGGAATGATCCATACAACTTGGTGAGTGCTAAATAATTACAGAGATCAGTCAGTCAAAAATGTACTGTGACTACATATTGGTTTATTCAGGGAACACACTGCAGCTGCTACTGGACGCCTTACCTCTGCTAATCCAGTAAGTACTAGAAGTACTAGGTTAACACGTTACACTAAGACCCTTTGTTTTAGGCTGCATCCGAAATGGGGAGAGCGGGGGCATAGGGGGCTCGTTACCCAGTATGATTGGCGCGGGAGTGGGGTGGGGATTGGTAGAGGTTGGTTAGTTTTTTACTTTAGTAAGACTGTGCTAAAAAAGTAAAATTCGTATGGCGCACTGAATAGAATATCAGAATTTAGTTCACCATGTGCAAGGAAGTGTGTGCAAGGATGATGCACTTTCAATTCATAATTATTTGCAAAACATAACAAGAACATGATCTTTTTAGCTATTCCATTGATTCAAAAAGTCTCGTCACTCTAGATGTTGCTGCTCTGACGTCACACTCAAGCAGCGTATTTACTTCCGCGTTTCTCGATTTGTAATATGTATATGATTGAATGACTCTTATCAGATGTAAATACAATCATTATTATGCGCTCCTAGAACCTCCAAAACATTCCAAAACAAGCCATGCAAATTCCTACTCATCAATACATTGTGGGTGAGTTTTAGTTAATTTTTGTGATTGCTTGCTGATTGTTGTCACACTTTAACATTGTTTATTAGCCTATAACCATTTTTATCTATTTATAAAGGAAAAGAAAACGAATCAGTGAGCATTTTTCCTAGGGAAGCATTCCACAGCAAAGAAGGATGGTCCTTCCTGGCTGCAGGTATCAATCCAATACATCATCCAAAATTCTGTAAATTCTTACCATAAGGAGACCACGCAAAGCTGAAAAGGAGACTTTTCCTTTCAGATTTTCAATCGATTGAGTTACGTCTGTTGGCGCATTTATCTAATGACATCGCCCTTCTGAAAGTGTTCAATGAAAAGAATTCTTCTGATGTTTTTATCACTCTTACTTCACAATGGTAATGCCGATTTTGATCGATTGTCTCTTTACATATGAAAAGACATTTAAGCCACGCTTATCCTATTCTGTCATTCCTAGGCTTAACAAAAGATCTGAAAGCGTTCAATTTCAAGAAAGAGAGCAGACCAAGAGAATTGTTTATTCTGTTATCTATGGCGTTGGTTAGTATATATAATGTCACACACAATAAGTCAACAAAAGCATTTGGTTACTCTGTTTTATTGTTTCCTTTCAACATAAAAGGGCGTGAACGGCTTGCTAAGAACATCGGAGTTAGTGTGGACAAAGCAAAGGAATTTATGAAGAGTTTCTTGGGTTCGTAAGTACTTCCGGGAATGTCACTGCACTGCACTACACTGCACTTAGAGATCGTTTGAAAATGGGATGATATGATTTTTCTACCATTCTATTCTTTTCTTTTATTTATTGTAGATAAATTCCCAGGAATTAGCCTTTTTACTCGAAAATGCATTGAAGAGTGCAAGAAAAATGGTAAGAGGTTTAGCATAAGTAAGTTTTATATACCGGGAATAAAAAATCTAAGTTTGCATTTTCATGGAAATTTTGTTGGTTTTGTTCTATTGGAAGTTGCTATCTATCTCCAATTCATTCTATCGTTTTCCCAACAGGACAAATTGAAATCTTAACATCATCATCATCACCATCTTAATAATAATCCAAACCTCTACCTCTATATTCAGGCTATGTCTGCACAATTTTTAAAAGAAAGCGCTGGTTCCCACATATTAATGCACCTCAGTTCAATCTCCGAGCACAAGCAGAGCGGCAAGCGGTCAATTTTGTTGTCCAAGGTATGTGTTTGAATATTTGTACATTTTCGTAGAATTCTTTTTTTGAGAGAATAAATGTGATGTTTCAATAGTTTTTATGTTATTAGGTTCGGCTGCTGATATTTGTAAATCGAGCATGATAGAAGTTGTACGTTCCTTCAAAAAAGATCCTTCCATTCGCGCAAGGTAATTGTCAGAGTATCTCTTCAGTATCTTTCTGGCCCGCGATGTACTCCTTCACTCTCCCAAAGGAGCCTGTTATATCAGGGGTCGAAAA